TATTTGCAGATGGCATGTTTATGTAAATAGAAACTCCAAAAGAACTTATAAATAAATTACAAGGTTGCTGGATACAAAAATCAATACTTAAAAATTAATTATGTTTGAATATAACAGCAATAGGACAAAATTTTTAAAATAAAAGATAGCTTTTTTTTTTTTTTTGCGGTATGCGGGCCTCTCACTGTTGTGGCCTCTCCTGTTGCGGAGCACAGGCTCCAGACGCACAGGCTCAGCAGCCATGGCTCATGGGCCCAGCCGCTCCGCGGCATGTGGGATCTTCCTGGACTGGGGCACGAACCCGTGTCCCCTGCATTGGCAGGCGGACCCTCAACCACTGCGCCACCAGGGAAGCCCCGAAAAGATAGCATTTATAATCGCATCAAATGTAAGAAGTACTTAGGCCTATAGCTAACATAAAGTATGGACTTCTATGGAGAAAAAGTTTAAAGCTTGTTTGAGAGATGTTAAAGATGATCTAAATAAATGGAGAAACATGCCATGGCTCCATTGTTTGGAAGATTTGCTACTGTAAATCTGTCAAGTCTCCTGAGATTCAATATAATCCCAATAAAATGTAATGGAACCTGACAAGATGATCCTATAATTTAGATGGAATCGCAAAAGCAAAGATTAGCCGAGACAATCCAAGGCTCAAAAACAAGGTAGAGAACTTGCCCTACTCTATATCAAGGCTTATTTTAATGCTATTGTAATAGACGGTAAGGTATTGCCCAAATGTAGGTAAGATAACCAAAGGAAAAGAAGGCCAAGAAATAGATTCACTCAGTATTAGAGACTTGATATATGACCGAGGTGGAACCAAAGATGAGTGTGGCAAGGATGGATTTTTCAATAAACAGTGCTCAGAGCATTCAGAATACATATGAAGATAAATGAAATTGGAGTCTTATCTAGAACTATACCTAGAAGTCAATTTTAGGTGAGAATTAAAGACCTATACGTGAAAGGTAAACCCCTAACGCTTACAGAAGGTACTTTAGGAGACGTCTTCATGACCTCACGGTGGAAAAGGATTTAAACATGACAAGAAAACAACCTAGATTTAAAGAAAAAGATTGATAGACTCACCTATATTAAAATTATGAAGTTTGGTCCAGAAACCAAAACAAAGTTGAAAGGGATAGGAAAAGTCATTTGCAACACATTTAATATATAATGAGCTAATATCCAAAATAAAGTACTACAAACCAAAAAGAGAAACAGAGGTAGATTTTGACCCAGTAGGAAAAAATGGTCAGAAGACCCAAACAGGAACTTCACAAAAGAGGAAATCAATAAGGCCAATAGGGCTTCCCAGGTGGTGCAGCGGTTGAGAGTCCGCCTGCCGACGCAGGGGACACGGGTTCATGCCCCGGTCCGGGAGGATCCCACATGCCGTGGAGCGGCTGGGCCCATGAGCCATGGCCGCTGGGCCTGCATGTCCGGAGCCTGTGCTCCGCAACGGGAGAGGCCACAGCAGTGAGAGGCCCGCGTACCGCAAAGAAAAAAAAAAAGGCCAATAAATATGAGAAAGTGCTTAACTTCTTTAATAATTTGGGAAACACTAGTTGAAACCAGTGATATGCTAGTATAAAGTAACCATACTGACAAAAATTTCCGTCTGAAAGTATCAAGTTTTGGTAAAGCTATGAAGCAACAGAAACTTTCATGCCACGTTGGAAGGAGTATAAATCGGTGCAACCACTTAAAAAACTGTTTGCCATTTATCTAATAAAAGTCAAAGATGCATCTACCCTGTAAGCCTGCAACTCAACTCCTTCTCCACAGAGTAAACTGGTTCTGCATTTCTCTGCACCTTAATGCCCTGAGGCAGAGGTTCTCAAAGTGTGGCCTTCTCACCAGCAGCTTCAGCATGATCTGGGATCTTGTTAGAAATGCAAATTCCAGGGTCCCCTCCCAGACCTGCT